TGTTAACTTTAAACGAACATGTTTAGGTTGAGAGCAAATGATTTATCACTTTTAAGCTATAGACGTTTGAATTGAATAAGAATTATAACAGTGTATGACTCAAGTCATGCCAATTTTATGGGTAAGAGCTGAGCCCTAGTCTTAAATTAGAGTTGGTCAATAATTTTTTTCGTTTCCCGTTATATATTAACCTCTTTATTCCAAAATTGTTCATTGTTTTATTGATTATAATATTGTAAAAGAGTTTTTATTCCATTTGTTGAATTAATGGAGCTTCGAATTTCCCTGTTTTTCTAGCTACTTAACTGTAGGTAGATTACCTTACCGATATTTCGATTTGAAATGTATGTGTTGACATTTGTTTGCTTTCATTAAAATTAATTATTCAGAGCTACAGTACTTTTTAACTTATGCCCTATATTTGTCACTTGTTCACAATAGAGATGTAATCGAATCATTCTTAATGTATTTGAATGAATGTCTCCTTGTCCTAACGCCAAGTTTAAGTTAAAGTTATAAACTGAGCATTTTTAGGTCTCGTATTGTGGATCGGTTGGTTTACGGACCCGGTGTATAATTTTTATTGCGTTAGTTCGGTTTTAAAACACCGTACATGTTTCTTCGGTAAAAACAACAACTGGAGTTATTGTGTGCGTTGTCTATTAGGTAGTTACGTGCGTTTATATAAACGCAAAAAAATACTCGTTTATGTTACCCACATATTAACACCATTGGTTGATATTGGCTAATTGTTCTCGCGTGCGCATAGTAGTGTTTTTTTAAAGCTTTTTTAGTAAACAGTAAGTTGTTGTTTTCTAGTGAAATTGAATTTTCAGGCCGGTCACGGACGAGTTTAGGGAGCTCTGTCGTAAAATGTACGCGTATTACACTCGCCTACGACTAGACCGTCTTCTATTGTCGTCCTTCATTATGTTTAATGTATATAAAGTCCTGCGGTGCAGACCATGTGATCCGAAACGTCTGAATCTGCAAGCCCGTTTCGGTCGACGGCTGTTGTGGGGGCGAACGACCTCTTCTTTCGGCAGGCCCAGAGCGATGACATCGCAACTCCATAGTGCTACCGCCACAACGGCGCACACGGCTGAAACTAACAACCCCACCACGTGTTTTACAAGTTATTCTTTCTACGAGGAAGGCGAACGTCATGCGCGTGTTCCTCGAGTTTTTTACTTCTGCACAATTGTTTTTTCCGACACGCTCGCTTGAAGAATCGTAACGTTCTCGATGTCTTATCAAAAGTTTCACAGCCACCCAGTCGATTCATCATTCATTTGCACGTACTTTTGACCAGAGTCCTTCAGATCTAAATCGTCTCCGGGTATATTACCGTTATTGTTCTTTGAAATCTAATGTATGTTCTTTAGCGAATGAACCTTTGGTTGAATTACTCGTGATTTTACAGTCTCTATTAAATAGTCTCATCAGATGTTTGGCAAAGTCTTTTTGTTTTATTAATTTTTAAAACAACAGCCGACAGCTCGAGTATCATACGTTTAAAAACCGTGTAATGGCGCCAACTGATGAATTTTACTTTTTCATCTTCGGATGACCCGAGTAATACAAGACAATTAGCGTGCGTAAGTTTGCATGAACATTGTCTATGAAAGCGGTTAGTAAAAAAGAAACAAACTTGAACTCGAAGAATGCGTTCGGGTGCTGAGCAATTTTTCTTTTTATCATCTTCGTTTGCAACAGCGTTGAGCTTCTCACGTTCCGTGAGAGTCCCTTTTAATGACATCATTAAAAATGCAGATACGGTTTCATATAACCAATCATCATTTTGAATTTTTGTACCACTCACATGTATCCAAACGATAGNTTGCAACAGCGTTGAGCTTCTCACGTTCCGTGAGAGTCCCTTTTAATGACATCATTAAAAATGCAGATACGGTTTCATATAACAATCATCATTTTGAATTTTTGTACCACTCACATGTATCCAAACGATACATATATCAGTTGGGTAATAATAGATCAATTACAGTTGTCAGTATTTGAAACGATTGATGTACAACATCTTATAAAGTACTCGAACTTAATTTATAATTAAAATCTTGTTATGTAATTTTAAACTTAACAGGGTTAATATCTATGGAGCAATCACTATTTCAAAAATGATATTTATTTTAATTAATTGAAGTATTTAGAAATAATGCCAAAAAAACTTATAACACAAGTTGATGTAACATATAAAACTTAAAATTCTGATTATTTGCTAATTTAATGTTAACAACTCTTATAAAGTCACGTGTTAAAATTCAGCAAATTTTTATTTTATTGGCGCAATATATCAATTGTTTTCTTAAATTCTCTTATTTACAATTTTTAGTCATGTGTTATGTTCATGAATTTTTTTACACGTGAAATTTTTGGCATGTAAATAATTATCCTATAATCGATTAACTAAATACATTTTATTAGATAGTTATAATGAATAAATAATGAGTTATAATAATAGTGAAACTTTAATTGTTGACTTTAAATAGCTTTATTACTATCAGTTTTGTTTGTTGCTGTGCACAGCAAAAATTTGGATTATATTTAAACACGTGATAGTGAGATTCGTTTGTATTATAAAAACATGTCATTTTCACGTATCACGTCGAGATCTACTTATTTGTATGAGTTACTTAATTAAAATAGTAGTAAATTAGTTGTTTTAATGATCCTTGTATGTATACTTTGAGGTTCCTTTTTTTAAAAGAACACGGTAAACGAGTTATGCAACGTTTTGTAACTACAACTTAACGTGTTATTCGACCAAATTTTCGGAGTCTTGAGTTTTTCATACATGACATACCACAACTTGTAACACAAGATTTCGGGAAGGTTAATGGTGACACTCGACTTAACTTAGCTAATGCTGATATTATCTACATGTATTCATTTTTTATTACGAGTCAATGTGAATAATTTGGAAAGCAATTCTGGTTTAAGAGAAATAAAATAAAATTTCAGACACATTTGTGAAATTTAATTACTTTATTTTATTTTTATTTTTACATAGATCGTTGGTATACAACAGTATTTGGTGAAGCCAACAGAAGTTGACCAAAATGAGAACATGTTATCTGATCAGGTTACCTCGGACATAGGTATCACTGAGAAAATGGTCAAGACATCTGGCATTCCTCTACAGAACGCCATTGAAAAGGTGAGTTTTCAATTTTCAATTCTTATCGGTTATGAAATTGATCCTCGGAATAAGATATAATAATATTATCAAGATTTGATTTACACTCGTTGTTTGCACGTTCAACAAATTTTTTTTGTGTATAGCTCCCAAAAGATATTAAATATCTAAATTTTAGAGTCGGGGCTTGGGGTGTTCACGCATTTTCTATAAATACCTTTAAAGCCTAATATCCAAGTCTTTGGAACAAAACTTAATTGCGTTGCTGACTAGAGTATTTCATAGAATAATGTAGAAAACGGAAATAAGTTACTCGACCATATTGTTTTAACATTTATTTATTTCAACCGTCGTATATTATGTATTGTAATGCGTTACCGATGCTAATGCCAGCCGACCATGTAGTCAACAGGTCGCCAGCTTAACCCAGAAAACCCGCTTCTTATTATGCGCATATTGATAATACGTATGATAATTATGATCCCAAGTCCGGAGCACATCACAGTGATTACTGTTTAATATACTATCGTGTAATTAAAATATTTTTCACACTGTAAGTACGTTCATTATATCGCGCGACCCGTTCAACCTTATGATTTCTTTGGATTTCGATTTGCCTCCGACCAATCTACACCATACCCAATACGGGCTTTTCCACAGCTCCACGGGTGACCGACTCGTGACAACGGGGTGATCAACCCCGCATGTTCCGCAACAGGTATCAACAGTCTTTTGTACATCATACTACGCGTGTTTAATGAGTTTCCTGTGGGCCGATTACATACCTATCGTTGTGCGTACACCTGCACTTACACACGGTATGGCCACTAACCGTGTAAACTTCAGATAAACATATAATTGTTAGGGGAGGAATCGGTACTAAAAGAGTTGTAGAGCGAATCGGACGAATACGCGCAAAAGCTATGGAATATAACGTTAAAAAACTAGTCTGGAGTTTGACGTTTTTTTTTTTTTTTTTTGTATACGGCGTGTGACGCTAGTAAAATTGCACATTTATGTACTCCCAATGAGTTAATGAGCTCAATGAGGTTGTAGAATAATATAATTGCTAGGGCTAAATTAATATGCATTTATAGATGTCGTTTAATCATTGAGAACACGCGATCAGCCAGCACAAATTTTTATTGATCGACTTGAAAACTTAGTGTTGTTGCCCACATTATAGTTGGGGGGGGGGGGTTATCGGCTCCTAAAACTGAAAATATTTCTAAGTTATACTATAATTCTATAACGAAATCGGGACCCCTCAAAGAAGCTGAAACAAAATTTATAAATTCATAAATTTCCTAAACCTATTAATTATTTATACGACGTAACAACAAGTTTTTAAAATGTTTTTGACGTACTCGCAGTTAGGTATTTTAAATTTACGATTATAAATAAAACTATTAAGTAGCGCCGCATTATACATTTATTTGTCCAAAGTTAAAATAATAATTTCCTTATAAAAGTTATACTGATTACCGTTACTTAGCGCACTAACTTAAGGTCGAATAATAAAAAACAAGATTCTGAATAGTAAACATCGTTCGTTACATAATGAGATTAATTAAGAACAACTCGAGCGCTTTATTTTAAAACAGCGTGTACCGGACGAGTCTCATTCGTTGTCTCGAGTATATTTTTACGATTGTTTTGGAGTTGATACTTCCAGTGTTCTGAAGAAACGACAACCATGTCGTTCCATATTATCTGTAGTTGGTGTCGAACGGTATTCCCTACGAAATTACAGACAGCACGTACAATTACATCGCTCTGTGAAATATCATCATACTCCACTTCAGAAACGCTTTGCGGTAAACATATACACTCATTAAGTGTACAAAAAAGAAATAAGACGTTTGACCTTCCGGCGGGCTTTGGATGAAAACGAAAGCCCAACAACAACAACAACAACTACACGATGCGATAATAACGATGCCGAGTGGAGGAATTATGTTCATAGGAAAGAACGGCGAACTTCTGTAACGTTGTTGGAGATCAACCGGTTTGCTCGGACCGAAAGCACAGCATTTATGTGTTATTATGTGCCGCGTGTCCTAATGCTTTTCAATGGCGTTTTTATGATTGAATGTGTACGTCGAGCAGAATCACTTGCGCACACGCCGTTAAACTGGTTTCGCCGGTGCGAAGTTGATCTACTTGTGTGTGTTGGTCAAATACGATTTCTAACCGCGTACAATGTTCTCGCTCAAGGTCTCGTTGGACAAGAAGTCGCTCTGCAAATTTGGCAATCGTACGGACTCGATGCTGTAACCGTGCTGTACCGGTATATTGCACACGAGCAGCCAACAAATTTAATGGAAACTGTACTGGTACTGCAATGTATAAACGGGCATCGAAATAGTCGTAGTTGACCAGCGTTTTTTACAAACCTCGTCCGGGCAATTCGTCTTCACTGGGCGCAAGTCTAAAACGAGTAACGGCGTGATACAGCAACTTCAATGGTTGACGAAAAGAACCCACGAACCGTTCGTGTTGACTGTAGAATTCACCAGGCCGTCAACAAACTAGGCCGTATCGCTGCTGGGCATATGTTCACCGATGCGCTTTCTAAGTTCCGACGGAGCGACGAACGATTGGCTCTCAGATCTGTTGTCTTTCGCCAGCAATCGAGTCATCCTTCGACCATTTAATATCTCATTTTGGATCTTTTATCACAAGTCATTAGTTTGTATTCGCCTGTTTTTGTCTAGGACTAGTGTAAAACAAATTATTGAAAATAACATATTTATTTTGTTTTTTAAAAAGTGTATTTTACTGCTATTGATTGTTCATCGGGAAATTTGAACTTTTATGTGGACACGAGAACTGCGGTCAACCGCCTCACACTTTTTTTATTACTTGAAAAATATTTCTTACTCTACAAATGCAAACAGCTGATGTCACAGATACTCAATGTCAATACGTATTGCAAACTCGTTGAACGCATTATGTTTCCTGATACAGTTTCACGTCATCGTGGAGTCTCGTTGATTTTTATCGGTTTTAATTTAATATCATTTGCGAACATGTCTGTATTTCTTTAAGAATATGTTTGAGGTTTTTGAAACCTACACAACCGATTTACATGGTCAATTACTATATCAGGCTTGTATTTGCGTTTTCTACTAACTAAACATCTGATTTAACCGAAAAAAATCTTTTAAGTACTTGGAAATCTGTAAATAAACTATTGAATTCGCCACGTTCTGCTTGAAAATTGACGATCGTCGAGATAAAAAAAAATTATTTTGCATAATCTAAATGAGTGCAAGTCGATTCTCACAGTCAAGTTTATCCATGTTAATTTTTTTTTGTGTGTGTACTTAATTACAGTATTGTTGTTGGTGAAACATCCGATTGATTGCTGTTTTTTCTCTTTAGTGCCGTTCATCAATCTCTTTATCGAACCGCTTCATCATCGCCATCACCGGGCAAAACGGTTCCGGTGGATTTAACCGGGTCGCACTGTGAGGTGTTTCCTAGTAAAATCATTGATTCTATGACTTTTTTATTTTTCCTAATGATTTTTCCTATTCACGAAATGTACCGTGAACAGTGCAAAACGGTTTCACTATGACAGTAGTTGTTAAGGTACTAAGCGTCCATTTAGAACAACAAGTAGGTTCAATTTAATGATTTTGTTCCATTTGTCGTTGACGGCCGCTAAAGAAGCTTCCGAAGAGTTTTATNGCGTCCATTTAGAACAACAAGTAGGTTCAATTTAATGATTTTGTTCCATTTGTCGTTGACGGCCGCTAAAGAAGCTTCCGAAGCGTTTTATCAGCAGCATTGTTTACGGTCCGATTTCCGTTATGACGGCAGTAAATAAGAGCAAAAGGTATAATATCACACTGTCATTCTAAAGACATAATTTACAGAGATATCGAGTGAGAAAATACGTAAGATGCCATCTTCTACTTTTTTATATTTGTGAATTTCCACAACATCCGTAAGTGGAGCCGCAGAACCGGTTACACATTGGTAATGGAGACCCGTTCGGATAATATACGATAACAACGGACATGAACACTTAATAATTATATTATGTTCGTTATTGATCAATTGTATTAAACCGAAAGAAACCTTAAAAACAACAATTAAATTATTATAACCGAGAGACCATTGGCGCTGTCAGGGAATTCTCGAGACAAGTTTTTAAAGTACGCCGCATGTAAAATATGTGCACACACAAGTCGCCTCCAAACGTCTATCATTAAAGTTGTAATTTCATTGCCTATTAAAATTACTTGTTTTGTAATGCTTGTAGAAAAACTCGACTTGCAGCCGTACTTTCCTATCTTATGAAAAATAATTCGACTGGTTTTTTATGCACAAAGTCTGAATAAAACATTAAATTCTATTTGTACACACTTCGAGGTTGCATAATTTTATACTGTTTTGCTTTTAAATGTGTGATAATTATTTTAATTACCTGGTACAATTTTAAAATATCATTGTCTTTTTTTTTTTACGGTGGTCATCGTTCTTTGGATAAACTGTTTACCATCAATGTTATATGCATTTCAAGTCATGTATTACCAGTATAGTAAAAAGTTTATATGCGAAATACATAGTAATTGTTGCGAGTTAGATTTTGTCATCTCATTATAATTATGTTTTGGAACGTTGAAAAACTATATTTTTTATACTTGTGAATTGTGAAACTAGGTTAGACAATAACGCACTGTTGTTGTGAATACACAATCATAGTTCACCAAATATTTCACTGAAGAGTTTATAATATGTTTTCATCTAAAAACATATTATAAATTGTTCGTTCAACTCGTACTTGTTGATCATCAAAAAGAGTTTATTTTATTATTTTAAACTATTCAATTCAACGCATTAAATTAGTAAAAAAAAATATTCTTTATAATATTATTCGCGTGCCTAATTTCCATGGAATTTAATAATTTTTTATGAAATGTAAAAACTGTGCAACCTGTGAACTGTCTGAGTTTATGTATTGTCTTTATTTGCATAATGTTTTCTCAGTCTAGCGATCCCTAATTTAA